TTTTTTTTTTTCAGCTTCAGAAAAATACATTTCCTTGAGCTCTCAGGAAGGGAAGCAAGGGCAAGCTAGCAGGCTTGTGGTGTACCATCCAGAAAAGCCCTTTTGTGTCAGATGCTGTATCTTTACTTCCGCCAGCAAAAACTCTGCCAGAAGGCTACAAATTGCCTTTGACTAAGCCTGCCTATCTCCCTAATCTTAACTCTTTCTAAATCCAGAAGCAGTACTAAACCAGAAGTGACAAGCTCAAGACCAGAAGAGGCTGGCCCAGTCTGAATGGCCCAATCCCACATCTTGTTCCAAGACCCCAAGCTCCTGATTCCTTGGTTGAGCTTGGGGAAATCCCTCCTCTGCTTTGCGTCTCAGTGTTCTCATCTGTGAAATGAGAGGTCTGGACTGGACTACCTTGAGCCCTGCTTTCATTGCTAAGATGAAACAACTCTTTCCACCACTCAGTGGTTAATGGATACGCTATGGCAAAGACAGTTTCCCATCATGTGCACTGCTGCCATCAGGATGAGAAGAGGAGGGGTCCTGGAGCACACAATGGTTAAGAAGTGAGGATAAGTGATGAACAGATAGGACTTGGAAATACCAGGACTTGAAATTTCCCAGGAAATACCTGGGAAAAGCCATGAGAAACAGAAGCAAAGGTGAGGAAAAGGTCAGAAACTTCAAGTTTTTGAGACTGAAAACAAAAAATAATGATGCTACTGAGAAGCAATCTGACAGTGATTTAGAGTACCAGCTCTGGAGTCAGATTATCTAGACTCGAAACCTACATGCACTCCTGAGTAGCAGCGTGGATGGACCTCAGACAGATTACTTAGACTCTCTCTGAACTTCAAGTACCCCAGCTACGACACAAGGAGATAACAGTACTTCATGGGGTCCTAAAGAATTAATCTAATTAATAATGGAAGCTCATCCTAGGCATTTGCTTTTATTATATTATAAAATAACACATTATATTTTACTATTACTATTATCATCAATCAAGACAGACAGGATACATAGATTCTAGTTTCTACTCTCTGACTAGTGACCTTAGGATTTAGGTCCCCACTTGTAACATGAGGCAGAAAAAATAATAATAAAATAACATAAAATAAAATAAAAATAAATCAGTGATTCTCAGACTAGTACATATATTCATGAGGGATTAAATAGGAGTTCTCTGTGAGGATTTTAAACATGTTTTGTTTTCATTTCAATGGTCATCTAAACAAATTCAAATAAACGTATCTGAACCTGGGGCATCTGGGTGGCTCAGTCGGTTAAGCGTCCAACTTTGGCTCAGGTCATGATCTCACAGTTCGTGAGTTTGAGCCCCGCGTCCAGCTCTGTGCTGACAGCTCGGGGCCTGGAGTCTGCTTCAGACTCTGTGTCTCCCTCTCTCTCTGCCTCTCCCCTGCTCACAGTCTGTCTGTCTCTCTCTCTCTCAAAAATAAAATAAACATTGAAAAAAATT